GGGGGGGAGCTACGGCACGAAAGCGGCGGGGCCGCGCTCGCTGTGTGGCCTACGTGCCCAACTGCGTGCGTGTTGGGGTTGCGGGGTCGCTCTTCTTCTGTCACTTTTGTCACTCTCTGCTCTCTCTCATATAATCTACCATGTTAATGTACGTGTTAATTTGTTGTAACGTATCATGACAACGAACGTAGACATTATATATTTGTTTGTATTATTATAAACGTGGCTCCCTAGACTTATTATAGAAGACCCTACCAAAGACTATATATACACACACATATACATACATATATATATATAAGACCCTCGTTTTCACGTGACCATTCCCAATGCTAATCCAGTACTCCAGACCAGTTTTGCGTGTGGCTAAAATGATGGGAATGTATAGATTAGTTTCGGAGGGGCCCAAACGGGTACTCGCCACCTTCCAAAATTAGGTGCCGATTGATGGGAAAAACACCATCCTATTTTGAGAATTTGTTCAGTTTTGTGTCATTTGCTCAATACACCGGTTCCAACTAGTTCCCGCCACCTCTTCCAGTACTCCAGACCAGTTTTGCGTGTGGCTAAAATGATGGGAATGTATAGATTAGTTTCGGAGGGGCCCAAACGGGTACTCGCCACCTTCCAAAATTAGGTGCCGATTGATGGGAAAAACACCATCCTATTTTGAGAATTTGTTCAGTTTTGTGTCATTTGCTCAATACACCGGTTCCAACTAGTTCCCGCCACCTCTTAATTAATTATGTATGGTTATCTATATATGTTAGCGGCGGAATAGGCCCAAAAAACCAAAAGAGGAAGAAGGTAAGAAAGATATTACTTGTATACATATTAAGGATTAATTTTATAAATGTCTTCTAAACTTTATATCTTGTTTCATGTTTCCAATTTTTAAAAAGGATTCATTTTGTCTAGTATGAAAGGTGGTTATAAACATTTTCAGAACTCTCCGGATGGTTTAAATATCCGAGAATAAATTGACTTAAAATCAATAATATTTTTAAGGGCATATAAATATATAAATAATGTCACATCATCATTTAATTAGTTTTATAAATGTAAAAACATTTTAAATTAGGATACATAATTCATGAGCTGAATTCTTTTTAAAATTCTAAAGAGGGGGTCTTTTCACAATTTTTTTTTTACTTTTCACACTCCCTTTTTACTATACACCTCACATAATTCTTAAATAATAAAATTTATTTTATACACACTCTTATTATTTTAAAATTATCCATAATTATTTTCATAAGATTATTAATCAATAACTATAGACCGTCTAATTTTTTTTTTTCGGACCCACCATTTTAGTTTAATTTGTTTCTTTAATACTATTATCTCCCATCTCGGAGATGTAAACGTATGAAATTCTCTGGAGTAAAAGGTTCATGATGAACACCTGACCTCACAGGTACAAAATTCGAAAAAAGAAACAAACGTCAAAACTACGGCTTATTCATTTGTATTTTTTAAGTTACGATTACTTGAGTTCAGATCTTAATTTAAGTTAAGATATATTTAGTGATAAAAAAATTTAATAGAATATATATATGGGGTTTTATTCATTTTTTTATTGTGAATTTATAAAAAATCATCTTAATCAAAATTAAAACGAAAAAGTTATGGCGTTTTTAAAAATAGAAAAAATATTATTCATTAATTTAAGTTTGAGTTTAAGAACTTGAGTTGAATGAAGAATTTAAACTCAGATGTTAGTCCCAAACTCAAATTAAAACTCAAATTTTACAAAAAAAAATTTAAATTTAAATAAAATTATAACTAGGGCCGACAATATGGGTCACGACGCGACAACACGACTAAAAAACGACACGAATTTTGTGGGTTAGGGTTGAGAAAAAAGAGGTTCGGGTCAGAATTGTGTCGACCTGAAATTGACACGAAAAATACGAGTCAATTTCAGGTTGAACCCGCCTAGCCCGAACACGACACAAAACTTGTAAAAAACTAAAAAATACATATCTTTTGCATTACATATTTTGATTTTATTATGAACTTATGATATCATGATAGTTATACTCAAAATCTTATAGTATTATTTGCTTAATTTCAATGGATGTTATTGTATTTTAGTGTGTTATGAATTTTAAGTTATTTTTAATATGTAAAAAACTAAATAAAAGTATACAATTTTCATGTCAATTTCAGGTCAATTTCGTGTCATGGGTCATTTTCGTGTCATGTCGTGTCAACCCGTAAAGTGCTCGTGTTCGTGTTGCGGTTTTTATAAAATTTCGTGTCACGAGTCGTGTTCGGGTTGACTACAAATTTAAAAAGAAACGATCAAAACACGACACGAATACGATACGTAATATGAATTGTCACTCCTAATTATAACTTGAGTTCAAATTTTTTTAAGTTAAACTCTAAAAGAATAACCTCTACTAATACAATTAATACGACAAGTGTTCTAACTAAAAGATAAATAATTAGAAGGAAACAATAGTGCATAAGTATCAAGGGAAAAATAAATGTGCAACAACAACAACAACAACAACAATGACGCGTTCTGTCATTTTGGCCGTCACAAGTTCACAGCCCCTGCACCAATCTCTTTCTTTTTTTTTTGGTTGAGAAAACGACATACATCAAAAGAGAAAAAAATTAATATACCTCTATGCATTATGCAACTTCTTGTAATAGTCACTGAAATATAAAAATTGGGGTTTTGTTATAGATTTTAAAATAACAATAGTTTATAAGTTAGAGAAATGAAATGAGGGGTGTGTGAAAAAACTATTATAATAAACTTTAGTTATGTAATCAAGCCTATTATAATTTTTTTTTTTTTTTTGTCATTTTGGGTGAAGGTTTATTAGAATAAAAAATTTTATTTTATAAGAAGGTGAGAAGATAAAATAAGAGTGTGTGAATAAAACTACCTAATTTAAAAACATGTTGAAACAAGATATAATAAAAATCAAGAGCATTAAAGAAATTAGTCTTTATATATATGTATATATATATATATATATTAATGAATAAGGAGTAATGAAGGAAAGTTTCGTGTAAACCCAGCAAATTTTTCCCCTCAATATACATACATACATACATATACGAGGCAGGTTCCAACTTGGAACATATTAGAGGTTCTTGGTTCAACTAGTATTCTTTTTTTTTTTTTTTATGGAGTTCAACTAGTATTCTTTGAATGTTAAGAGGTTTAAGAAAAAATTGTATTTGAAACGCTACTAATCAATCTTACA